GTGTGTGATTCAGAGTCAGTGCCGAGTCTGTGATCATTGTGTTTGCGTTTGTGTTTGCGTTTGAAACGCTTGTCAATTTAACTTCGTGAAGAGAAGTAGCTTTAACTAAAGGTATGGTAGTAGTACTATAATAAATAAATAAAAATTCGACTTTCTTGTGTGAATTACAAGAATGTCGTGTCATGTCAAATATCGTTGTGCATTAAATACCTGTCATTTTCATTTCACGGCGATGTGATATATCTGTTCCCTCCCTATTTATTATTTTTATTAATTTAACTGTAACAAATCTGGGCCACGTTTGGGCCAAGCCTTTTTCGCATAAGCATGCATACGCGAAATCTCGAAACGTCAAGTTGTTTAACCAACCCAAGAAGCGTATTGTYCCGTTTATACTCTGCGTAGGAGAACACCACGCCGTTTTAGAAATCTACTCAGTAAGCCACGTGTATCCACTCACATATGTCCACGTAAGCGTCTAGAAGATGAGGCGCGCCAAGAAGAAAAGCTTCATTGTGTCTCCTTAGTCCTCCCTATCCTTCTTCTCTCTGTAACTTCAGCGTCTCCATCAATGGCTTCTCCTTTGTCTTCTTCCACCGTCGTCTCTCACCGGATTATCTCCTTCCATTCTTCGTCTCTTAATCGCAGATTCCTCTTTGTTAAACCCAAATTACCGACCAGTCGAAACGATTCCGGAGATTTCCGCATGCAATTGCATTCCACATCAAGGAAGATTGTCTCTAAGGTCGGGTTTAGAATTCTAAAAAATGGGTGCATTGCTCTAGACTAATGTCACTTTGTAGTTGATGGGTTTGTATTGTTCTTCATCGATACCTAATGTCAGGCACAGAACATGATTTAGGGTTTAGCGAGAGTACTAATTTGTAATAAATTTCCCAATTTTTCTTCTGAATATTCGTTTTCAGCAGTGCAGGAACTTATACCTTCCTGCAATACTTCGACTGATTCGAAGTTGAACACTTTCGAAGCTGGATCCAAAAACCTCGAGAAATTGGTCGCAACGATCCTTATATGTGTTCAAGTTTGGTCTCCATTGCCTTTGTTTGGTGTAGACTCTGCTTACATATCACCTGCAGAGGCTATTCTTTACTCTCCGGACACGAAAGTTCCAAGAAGTGGGGAACTTGCTCTAAGACGAGCTATTCCTGCTAATCCAAACATGAAGTCTATTCAGGCTTGTCACTGTCTTAGACTTTTTTCAATTGGTTGATTTTGGTGAATTTGGTTTTTTTGAAATGATTGGTTTTGGTTCCTTAGGCTTCATTGGAAGATATATCGTATCTTTTGAGAATTCCACAAAGAAAGCCTTACGGTACTATGGAGAGCAATGTAAAGAAAGCTCTAAAGGTAAACTTCGTTACTCTTGTTATTATCTATACAAGCTTCTACTTAGCACTTGGTTGATCTTGTTTTAGACGGTTAATTTCAAGTATTCTTGATGGAATTAGTTCTTGATTTGTAATACGTTTGCAAGAATAGTGTAACTACGAGATTACATTCCTTCACGAATTTTGTATCAGGTGGCTACGGAGGATAAAGATTCCATATTAGCTAGTATACCAGCAGACTTAAGAGACAAGGGCTCAGACCTGTATGCATCTCTGATTGACGGCAAGGTACATGGAATTAAACGCGTCTCTGTTGTCATGTTGATGGACTCTTATCCCTCTAATTTCTTTAAAGTTCGGTGAAAGATGATATGGTGGTGTTAATGAAAAGTTTATCTTATAGTAGTTTGCAACACACTGCAATATGCAGTTTTAAGTTCTAGACTCATTTGGTTTTGCTATAGAACCTTATATTTCTTTGTTTGATAGGGTGGACTTCAAGCGCTTCTAACGTCTATAAAGAATCAAGATCCTGATAAAGTGTCAATTGGCCTGGCATCATCATTAGATACTGTTGCGGAACTGGAGTTATTACAAGTACAGTAGCACACACTATTCTTCTGTCCCAGTCCCAGCTCATCTCTTCCGGGTAGTTTGAAACACATTAGCTCAAGATTTAATTACTGACTTTGAAAAGTGTTGTTGTAGGCATCTGGATTGTCATTTTTGCTTCCTGAACAATACAAAAACTATCCCAGGTGATTTCTATTTTCCGTCTCTCAGAGTTAAACTCCTCTTATGAGCTGCACAAAATACCAGATCTTCTGTTGGAACTGTAGGTTAGCAGGAAGAGGAACTGTAGAAATCACCATTGAGAAAGGTGATGGTTCGACATTTTCACCTGAATCTGGGGGTGATCAAAGAAAGAGTGCCACAATCCAGGTATCAAAGCTAAATCTGATCTTACTTGTGTTTTACTCACCAATCTCTCGAGCTATTCTCTCACGAGGCGCTGCCTTTGCTTATATTATGGATTCAGATCATTATAGATGGATATTCGGCACCCCTAACAGCAGGGAATTTTGCAAAACTGGTAAGGTAGTTTACTCTAACTTCAACCTTTGTTAGCTACATATCTTGAACCTAAGAGATGTACTCGTAAATCTTGAAAAGATATGGTACAAACTATTTGCTTCTGGGGGTTTTTCAGGTAACTAGCGGTGCATATGATGGAGCCAAACTCAATACGGTGAACCAAGCTGTAATCACAGAGGATGGGAATGGTAAGGTGGAGAGTGTTAGTGTTCCATTGGAACTAATGCCTTCCGGACAGTTCGAACCTCTCTACAGAACCCCATTGAGTGTCCAGGTATAACAAAAGCGCTTCTATTCCCTAAGCAAAACCGGAAAAGCTGACTTTGCTTTTGTTTTTTCATTTTTGACATTGGAAGGATGGGGAGTTGCCAGTTCTTCCTTTATCGGTTTATGGAGCTGTAGCAATGGCGCACAGCGAAAAATCAGATGAATACTCTTCTCCATACCAGTTCTTCTTCTACCTATACGATAAAAGAAACGTACGCATCACTCAAAACCTTCCTTAGCTCGATCCCATTTTGAAACTAAAAGAGAGGAAC